CGTTTGTTTGTTACCGCGTCTTGCTCGGAGCATTCCGGGGCCGGGGGCGTGGTCCCGGCGCTGCTCTCTGACCCCGCATGCCTTTCTGTTTGTGTGGCCTTTGCCAGGTGACGTCCTCAATCTGGACCCCAGACGCTCCTTTGCAGGCACTAAGCTGGACGTGGGCAACATCGTGCTGGCCTTGTACAGCGGCCTCTTCGCCTACGGGGGATGGTGGGTTCCACACGGGCGTGGGGGTGGCGCTGAGCACCCAGAAGTCTGAATCTCAGCCACCCTTCCCGAGATTCCCAAAGAGCCCGGCCCCTGGGCAGTGGCCCCTCACCGCAGGCGGCAGTGGCTGGGCCAGCTGGCCTGCAGGCACTGCCCACCCACTGCAGTGGAAGCCGGCCACCGGCCCTCCACCTGGTCTCTGGCTCCGGTCCCCACTCTCAGGCCAGCTGCCCAGGGCCTGAGGGCAATGCCTGGCGGGCAGGTCGGGATGGACAGGGCCACCTGAGCCTGGAGGGCCCGGATGTGCCCACAGGTCCCGCAGACCCTGGGTATCAGTCCCCCGTGCGGCCTTGAGCCCTGCGCTCCCGGGCTGGGGTGGGAGTCGGCCCCGGCCAGGCTATGCGTTTGCCTCAGAGACGGTGCTGTCTGCCCCCGCGCGCAGAGCCTGGTGAGGGGCGGCCTGGCTTGTGGCCGTGGCTTCCGTGTGTCGCTGCCCCCGAGGACCCGGGGTGGTGGGCGAGGGTCCCTCTGCAGCAGCCCAGAGCAGCCAGGAGGGCCTGTGGGGCCCGCCTTCCTCCCCGCCTCCGAGGGCGGGAGGGGCGCACAGCTAAACTCTGCTCTGCATTCCAGGAATTACTTGAATTTTGTCACTGAGGAGATGATCAACCCCTACAGGTATGCTTGCGCGCTTTCTCCTCATCTTTACGTGGGAGCGGAGGGGCCCCTCTGCCCAGAGCCGTCCTGGGCCAGCCCAGCTGCGTGCAGGCCTTGGGGGGGGGTGCGGGCTGAGGTGCAGGCTGGATTCTGGCCCAGACCTGCCGCACAGAGCGGTGGGGCCCGGAACAGCGTGTTCC